GAGAAAGGGGAAACCCTTTTTTGATGTGTAGTGGTGCATCGCAACTTGAGCCTGCGTAAGGCTGTATCCATGACACCAAATGAGCCTGAGCAAGGCTTGAGCCTGAATAAGGCTTTGTGCTTGGCACAAGACCAAGCAACCAGCTGAATAGTCGAAAGAAAAAAAGCTGGCACTGGGAAGGGGGGGGTGTCTGGACCAACCATGGTTTCCAAAACACCCCAACCAGGGTTCCCAGACCACCAAAAAACATACAAAAAAATGATTTTTATATAAACTTTTTGTGTTTTCAAACTTTCATGTTGCCTTTTAATTAAAAGCAAACATAAAAGGTTAAAAACGTTCAAATTTTAAACCTTTTAGCTTGAATTGTTCTTGTTCACCTCAATTTTTGGCTCAGCACACCACCCAAAAGGGTGATAATTTCCAACACCAAAACACCTTCACACATACGCTTCCACAGCACCAGCAAACCTTCTCAACTTGCAGTTTGGCTTGGGAGATCCATGGCTAGGAAAAGGCCTGCATCTTCCTTGGAGGCAGAGCCTGAGCAAGGCTTGGTAGGTGTCAAAGCTGAGCCAGCAAGCCCAGCCAAAAGGGCTAAGGACTCAAAGCCTGAAAAAGGCAAAGAGCCTGACAAATTGCCAGCGCCAAGCAAAAAGGCTTGGCAAGATGTCAGGTACCAAATGTTGGAGCTGCAGAAAAAGGGCAAAGGGAGCCTGAAGAAGGCATTCGACGTTTGCAAAAGCCAAGAACAAGAGAGAGTTTTACTATAATGTGTTTTTACTTTCTCCAGATGTGGCCAAAAAAGAGGTCCACAAAGAGAGCCTGCAAAAGGCAGCCACTGTGTCTAGGGCTGGCTTACAAAGTGGGATGTGGCCAAGAAAGAGGGTGTGCATGAGAGCCACCCTGACTTCGATGCCTTGGCCAATGATGCTGTCAAGACTTTGCAAGAGAGGGACCATGAAAACCCTTTGTGGGCAGCCAGGGGCATCAAGCAATACTACTACTATGGAAACCTCATGACCCAGAAGGTGCACTGAGAGCCTGACTAAGGCAAAGCAGAAAGTGGATGATCTAGATGATGACCACTTCAGCAAGGTGGAGTCAGCCCTCAGGGTCGATCAGAAGGTGACAGGATGGAAAAGAGCCTGAGCAAGGCACAATTTTTGGAATCAGTGCGATCCAGGAAGGTGCAAGCTGCAATCTTCAGGCTGCCTGGCTTTACCAACCACAGTGTTCATCCTGATTGGATGCATACTGTGGATGAGGGCTTTGGCGCACTCATCCGTGTGCAGGTCCTCTCCCACCTTCTGCCAGAGTATGGCAAAAACAAAGATGAGCAAATTAAGAACTTATGGAAGGACATCCAGGAACTCTATACAAAATTCCAAGTTCCTTGGGATAAGCGCTTAGCCAAGCTAACTCTTTTGGACATCAAAAAGCCAAAAAGAGTGGCTGAGCTGGATGCCAAAGCAAATGATATCAGACACTTTGCCTTGTGGCTGGAGAGCCTGTGCAAGGCAAAGAGCCTGCGCAAAGGCAACATGTTGCAAAAGGCGGTGTACAATGTTGCCAGATTTTGTACAGAAATGTACAAAGCATTGGAAAACTTTGACCCACCAGGCCTGGTTGCCAATGGTGAGAAATTATTGAGCCAGTACATGGCACTGGAAGCTTGCTTTGCTGCAGCAGATGATGACCAAAGCTGGCATGCCAAACCAAAGTGCCACCTTCTGCAGCACATTTTAGACGATGTGCACACCAAAGGATTGTGTCCAAAGGACACCTGGACCTAAAGAGATGAGACCTTTGGGTCCACCCTCCAAGGATTCTATACGAGGAGAGGTGGTCACAGAATTGTAGGATTGGAATGTGAAAGAGTCCTGCTAGCTTTCATGAGCACACAGCCGTGGCTTGGCGCTCAGAGCGAAAAGATATGAACAGATCATGGTGGACTTCGGGAAAAAGGCGGAAGGGCCCAAGTACGAAGCTGGTGCCCGACGCCAAGGCGGACGTCCCAAAGCTGTAGGTATCCAACGCGCCATCCTCTAATTCCTTCTCTACTTGGAACGCAGCGCCTGTGCTGTTGGAGCTCTTGCCCTTCCTGTTCTTCTTCTTTCCGATCTTCCTGGCATGCCTCATGAAGGGCTTCATCCGCGCTGGATTGGGATCCATACTTAAGTTGACGAAGAAAGAGCACTGCTTCTTCATGTTGGGAGCTGCTACTCTCCTACGCCTCTGTCCACCCACCCGAACTGGTGGGCACGGAGGATGTTAGCCCATAGCTCAATCCAGTGAAAGCTCGGCAGCAGCATGTTTGGCCTGCAAAGACAGGCAGACGCAAAAAGGCAAGGGCCCCGCCTGGGCCGCCTGAAGAGGAGAAAAAGCGAAGAAAGGCAGGGTCACGAGGAGAGAAGAAAAAGATCATATGTTTTTGTTGCGTTTCAAGAATCCAGAATCAGGGGAGAGATCAGGTAAGAAAACACATTGACAAGCCTGCTTGAGGAGTGCAAGAGGAGAGCTTTTGCCGACGCAGGTATGAGAGACATGGCAGATCTGAAGTGGGCTGGAGAGGAAGACTTGGGGCCGGGTCTCCATGGCTGAGCCAATCGAAAGGGTAGCGCGCAGAAACGGTTTTGTGAAAACTTATTCGACTAACTTTGGGAAGTGGAAGGTCCGGACATTCGCGGGACAGAGGCAGCAGATTTCAAGCCTGCCGCGTTGTAGTCGGGAAGTGAGTTGATCTTTGAGGGCTCCGTGCCGGGGCCAGGCGCCATGCGTGCCTTGCGTGGACTGACGAGGAAGGATCTGCGCCACGCAGGAGATCAACCCCTGTTGAACGAGCTCGCTGCGGTTGAGGAGAGTAGAACATGTTATCGTGAATGGCATTTGCAAAACACTTGTGGGGAAATGCGCGGGCAGCTTGTTGCAAAAGAGTTCCCAGACATCGCCCCCCCTCTCTCCAGCTCGTTTCTCACACTTTTTGATGCAGTGACGTTGGCGCTCACAAGACGGCGTGTTGTGGCAAGGAGCACGTGACAGGTCAGCGCAGTCATTAGCAGCTAGTTGTTCCGTCCGTAAAGCTTTCTGGTCTCGCAACTCTTTCGTTCCGGCCGAATTCTTGAGCTCCTTTACCAGGGCTGCCTACGGTTCGTCGTGAAAACGATTGCGCAAAAAGTTTTTCTAATGGTTCCTCTTAAAGCGTTCAAGCTCAAGGTGCCCCGGTTTGGCGGACATAGCCTTTTGGGGTGTTGCGGGTCCCCTTTTCTTTCGGACTTTTTCGGTGCGGCGTAGAGTAGTAGTGGGCTCGCGCACCAAACGGGTAGAAAGTCCCGTGCGGAAAGTGCAATGCGGTTGGTTTGGCTCAATGCTACAGAAACAATAAACCTCGAAGCGTTAGGCTCGAAGACACCCTCCCTCCGGTCGCTATTGAATGTAAGTACGCGGCCGAGTGAGAGTGTGGGGTGCGCGCGGTTTGTCGACGTTTTCCTAATGCATGAATCAAGGTGCTCCGGTTTAGTGGAGAGTGGAAGTCATTCAGTCCGATGTTTAGACAAACTCACTGCAACGCGTGGCAAATGAACTTGTGGTTGCGCTTATATCAGATAAATCTGTGAAGCGTTTATGTGAATAAACTTGGAACCCTTACCACGCCATCATGTAAGCAATAACAAGATCGAGCTCGGCTTCCTGGTGCGAATCTTGCCGCAAAGACTATGTTTTGGTGGTGTGGCGATCAAGAGAAAAATCAAAAGAACGAGAGCGCCGTTGCCCTTCCCCAATGTTCGGGGGGACGTTTTTCGCATTTCAGAAATCGGAACCTAATACGATTGTGCCTCTAAAACACATGCTGTTCAACGGAAAGAACCGACCACTTGAGAGGATCGTTGGTTCTGAATTGATTTGCGGAACAACCTGACGGTGCTGTTTGTTCCATTTGTTTTCCCGAGGGCTTAGAACGATTCAGAAGTCTCGTAGTAGTATGTATATGAAGAGGCTGACAAATTCAATAAAGCAAAAACACTGGAAACGAAGTGTTATTTCTGAAGTAAGAAGGCAGGTTGCTTAGGGCAGTGCTTCCGGTACAAGTAGCAGCAGGTGGTCAACTGTAAAAAACAGTGACGCACAGTGTGAGGCGTGTGCAAATTATTGAAAAACATAGATGAGTGCAAATGCAGTGGAATTGTGATTTCGTATGAAATACGTTATGAAAATGTTGTTATGTGTTTTAGCTGGATTGTGTTGCAACTGGTGTTTTTGTCATACAACCGAGAAGGCTGAAGGCATTTAAGTTGTGTCACGATAATTTTGTGCCAAACCAATATTTCGGCGCATTGTTGGAGTAAATCCAAGACCCCCAGAAAGTTTGCCCACATATCATGGAGTTTGACAAAAACACACTTAAACTACATACTTTCGGAGTTCCAGATCAAAGATGTAATTATTTCGAGAAACATGTTCCACACGTCTTGAGTTTTACATAAATTTTGCACCGCCATATACGTTGCTTGGCCAAAAATATCCTTAAGTAAAGAAACACACACACATACGTTACATATATATATACTACTTATTTTCATGTTTAAACATAGAAGAACTCCTAAGTACAAGTGGGCATGTCAACTATCGTCCCTTGACCACGTTAGTTTCCGTCCCTCTATGTATAAATTGTACCCCCAAGACCAGGGGTGCAAAGTCCAGACCTCAGAAAGGTTCAGAAACCAGTGCACACGCTAGCAAAAAAACAAGCGTTGGTAATTCCGCGGAAGGATACCACATCGAACAAATGTAAACAGTGTCCGTATGGCATAATGGTCAGCGTTCCCAATAATGAGACCTACACTTGAGAGGTCTCAGAGGGCGCAGCCGTTCATACATATAGAGCATATAGAATCATATCATATTGGTAGTATTCAATTACTAAGACAATATCATACAATATGAATATCATTTATGACACAGGCGCAACTGGTTTGCAACAAAATCACACTCTCACCCAGGAGCTTCACCGGAAGTCCGACGAGGTGATCCATGTGGGCGACGCTGTGGTGACCTTCAAACAGAATTTGGTCGTTCCATTGTTTCGTGGAGCGTTGGATTAGTTGAAAAAAACAACTGCCCAAACTGAGTTGCGCTGGATCGTTGAGTCCACGAGACTCAGGCAAATGTTGTTCCTTTCGCACGGTTGAGACCACAAGGTTCTTGATCTCCAGCGACGCCCATGTCTCCGAGATGGACAGACCCAAAGTGAACATGCGGTTTGAAGCAGAAAAGACATCAACAAGCTCTGACACCAGGCTCTTGTGTGGGAGCTTTGTTTGGATTGATGCAGACTGCCACAGGCATGTAATGAACTCCACTCACCTTTGGGACCTGGGATAGGCAGTGAATGGTTGAAACTTGAAGTTCCAAGCTTCCCCCCTGGCAAAGGTTGCCAAATGTTGCCAATCAATGACTACACTCTTGAGCCTGTTGAGCAAAGCAACCTTTTGCCACACCTGTGCCATTTCCGCGTGATGTTTGTAACCAACCAATCAGTATGTGTTTTCTCGAAGAACAACATCTGATAAATCGAGGATTGTTCAATGGTCTTACTAAGATGTGGCTGGTCAGTATTTTGGAGTGGAAAGGGGATCCAATTCTTTGGAGACATGCTGCTTGTGGCGCCTAATTTCTGGATGTCAACGCTAGTCGCTGCTTCGACTCGAACCCGGACGTTTTGATTCTTTAGGTCAAGTCTTTTGGAAGGAGAATGAACGCCGCGAATCAATAGGTCCCTGCGCGGAGCCAATTTACTTTACTTATGATGGGCAATCACCTATGAAGAAATTTTGAAGGAATCATCGAAAAAGACATGACCCTGCAGTGTGCCAAAACATGCTAAAAACCGATATAGCAAAACTGTTGCAGTTCCTCCACTCGATGTACATATACCCCGCAGCATGGTTGACCAAGCGTGTAGCAGAAAAGGCCTGTGAAGACCGCTGGTAAGGTTTCTGTTCGTGGCCCCTAGTTTTGTTTCCGGTTGGTAGCGGAGCCCCTGGGTTTGGTCCAGGGGCGATGATGCTGGTGGTCCTCCTGGTGGTTTCCCTCCCTCCGTGCCTGGGGGGATTCCATCCAGGCCATGGCACGCGGGTGCGGGAGCGCCCGGAGGTTCTCTTGAACCCACCCACACTCAGGTGGATGCCAACGCATTCGATCTTTGTGCCCTGGGTTTCGAGGTTCCGCCCCACGAGAGCACCACACCTGCCGGTGGAGGTGTATTCGACTCGTCTTTGTCCCTGGCATCATCGCGCCGCGCTGAGTTTGTTCAACCCAGCCAATTTGGTTTGTCCCTGTCTTTTGTCCATGTGCAACCGCACAATGTCTCCCAGCCGTCTGGGAGCAGGCACGCAGCCTGGCCGTGCTCGTCATCGCGCAGCGTCGCTCCTGCGACCGTCGATTCGTCGACCAGAGTGTTCGTGATGCCCAACACACCGCCGATGAAGCACAGGACCAGGAGCCTGCCACACCAAGGAGTGTCACGTCTTCGGACGGAGGCATATTCTGCCCGTCGTTGTCCCACATGTTTGCACGCTGCGCTGGCTGTTCGCCTCAGCCATTTCGGACTGTCCTTGTCTCATGTCACAACATGTTCATGCAGTGTCTCCCAACTCCCATGGGTCTGGCCCGTTCCGAACTCGTCACCTGTCATTGTCGCTCCGTCGACTCAGGTGTGAATGCAAAGCCGATCACCTTAACGATGCCGTGAACCTAGAGCCATTGACCGATACCATTTCCACTACAACTCAACGCTGTGCTGCGTCACTTGCGTACAGGGGGTAAACCTGTCACAGCACTCAAGTTCCACTCACTTGCCAAAGTCCACCATGAACACGCCATCCATTTACACCACATTCACCTTTTGCACTACCAGTACATTTTGCACTACGTCCTCAGTGACAAGCGCTACCACTACCAGTACATTTTGCACTACGTCTCCAAAGCCAAGTTCTACCAATACCTTTGTCACTACGTCCTCAGACACAAGTACAACCAGTCAGAGTGATCAGCCCTTGGATCACTCAGGACGCCAGCAAGAAGAGCTCATTCGCCTGATAGCGTTCGCGCTACTACCACTCCATGATTGCACTGTGCATTGTAGTTGCGTTAAAGGTGTGTACTTATCTACCTGTGCAGTCGCCGCCCGGCGAGAGAGCTTGTTCGTGTTGGCCGTGTTCGACATCAGAGGCCCATCATTGATCGCACCAAGCATGCCGTTCGCACTGCAAGAGTTATAGTCACGGACGCACAGTAGGCAGGAAAGGTCCGGTGACAAAAACATAGCAGATAGATTTATGGTAAGCGCTTTTGTCAAATTTAGCTGCTTACTGGGGGTGTCCGGAAACTTGTCCTGGAACTGCTTACTGGGGTGTGCTTTCCCAAATGTGTCTTATATGATGTATACATATACATAGAATCTAGAGAGTGTGAACACGTCTACTAATCATCCAACTTGTTCAAGCCTCTTGACTCGCCCCAGTCGAGCTGTCGGCTGCAAACAAGACGCATACGGTGGTCTCCGACTTCCACCTGACCCTTTTTCACCAGCAAAAAGCAGATGCAGTAAGCAGACCTCAAAGTACATCTGCTTGCAGGGGTGTGTTTTTGGGTATACAGCAAACATCTGTGGTAAGGGATGATCAAAAACCAAAGTTTAGGCCCCTTGCCGGGTGCAGTAAGCAATAAGGTTACTGCCTACTGACCGGCACTGACTATAAGCTTTTCTTTGCCTACATGGTGCTCAATGCAACCCATGTAGAGGCACTGAGCCAGATGCCGGACATGCAGCTGCCAAGCATCACAACATTCGAGCATACATGGATGCCCTGGCTACTCCTGATACTGCCAATGATGATTGTGGCCACGTTGTGCCTTATGTTCCCAGGAGCAACATCCTGGTCGCAAGACCTGATGCTGTGGAGCATATGTCCACCGACCTGCAGCCGCACCAGCAGGCCGCCATGATCATCTCACAACTCGCAGTATCCGCGCGCGAGTTGGCGCGACAGATCACACCTGCCGAGCTGTTCAATAGTGGAGTATCCAACGGTAGGCAATTGGATCCCGTATCATACTTGGTTCAAGGTCTTGCCAATCGATTCGAGACTTGCTGTCCTTCTCACGACGGCAAGGAGAAAGCATAGATGCCTTGGTCACACGCTTCGACCTGGTCCGCGCAAGAGCTCAGAATGATGGAGGGGGTGCCCAAGTGTCTGTTGAGACAGCGAGCCTCCTGCTCTTGCGCGCGTGTGGCTGCTCGCCCGTTGTCCTCCACCTAGTGGACCCCGGTACTCGTTGGGCCACGGCAGTTGAACTGACCGCACGACCGCAGAGATACTCCACGGTCTCGATCAATGGATGGCTATCTTCGGCCCCATGCAAGTGCTCATCTTCGATGGAGAGCAAGGCCTGAATGATGAAGAAGCCACCATTTACTGCGAGGTCAAGGGCATCACTTGAAACCTTGGGCTAACGGGAGGAGCCAGTATAATCCGGGCCAGAGCGTAGCTGCCAGCTGCCTGAAAGAGTCGGTGATGGACTCGACGATGGTGCTGAGGTGGCTGTCCACAGAGAATGGTGCAGTGAGCTGCGATGGCTGTGAGAGATCGTAATATCTGAAAGAGGAATACGGTCATGTGTAGTGGTATTGACCGGGGTTGATTGGACGGATGTAGTGGTGGTGTGCCTGTCACGTGAACGTGAGCGGGCGCGTGGGGTCAAGTGGGCGATCAGGCTGTGCTGGGGTGGGATGGCCGTGGGTGGCTGTGAAGGTGGTAGGATTGGTGAAGAGAGAAAGTTTGTTGTGGCGGATGGAGGGAAGCGGGCGGCGGGGTCCATCCGGTAGTGACCTGGCGAGCCTGGTGAGCCGGGCAGAAATTGGAGAATGCGGATGCCTTGGCATAGGTCGGTGCTGATGGTAACCAAGTGTCGTAAAGTGTTGCGGAGTTGCAAGTAGAGGCGGTAGGACTGTTGGTCTGTGAAGGAAGAAGGATAGGGGATAGGATCAGTTAGAATGGGATGATGTTGGAGATCGGTGACCAGGGTGTGTAGTGTGGCAATCATCCAGGATAGCAGCAACAGTTCGGGCTGGTGAGTGGCTGATGGAGCAAGATAGGGAAGTGGATTCCCGGGGAGATAGTGACCCGCTGCGGGGGCCAACGATGGATCTGGAAAAGGAGGGGAGTGTGAACCCTCCACTGTCATAGGGCCGGCCGCTGGTGAAGTAGAGCCAAAACCGGAATCAGCCATAGCTGCGCAGGCGGGCAAAGGGTGTTGTCAACGTGCGATCTCAACAAAACGGCTGCGGAGGCTGAGATGTGACATTCGGCAAAGTGTTAACGACGGTGGGAATGAGCAGCGCAGGTGAGAAAAAACAGTGTGCTCGATCTTTTGCACCGCTGTTGTCCAGTTAGCGATGTAAAGAGTATATACAAAGCGGCTCACTCCAGTGGAGGTTGAAGTGGTGGCTAGAATGCTGGGCTGTCTCTGGATCGTGAACGGTCTCTGGCTGCAGGGCCATAAGGTTCAGGCTGACGATGGCGATTGGGCCGATGACGATGGTGCCGATGTGGAGGTGGACAGAAAGTGCGTACTTCATCAGCCAGGAAATCAGTGGTGTCAGGTGGGAAATGTGCTGACGGGTTGACACGATAGCTGCCTGGATGGCCCGGAGGGCCTGGTATGAATTGAAGTAGTCGGCTGGCGCGTTTCAAGCGCAGGGTGATTCTGGCCAACTCGGTAACACTCTGATGGTATTGACAGTACAGCTGGAAAGCATCAGCATCGGTGAAGAGGGTGTTGTCTGGTAGGGGACTGTCGATCAAGGGGTGGTTGAGGAGCTGGTTAACCACGTTGGCAAGGCAGTCGAGAAGGCCTTGCATAAGGAGAAGTTCTGGTTGGTGTGTGAGTGAAGGAGTCAAGTGCGGAGGAGGATTGTCCGGGAGGAAGTATGTCTCGGTGGCTGAAGGCTGCTCCGTAGAAGGTGACCGCGAGGCGCGAGGCGGTCGGACATCAGCTGGGGCCATGATGAACGAAAAAACGATCTGTACACTCAAAGTAG